TTCTGTTCATTAGAAAAAATTTTCTCATGAAAAGTGCGGACCTCTCTTCCTGGCGGCCAAACACGACAAACATTTCGTTGCGTTTTACACACAGGGCAGGTCCTGCCGTTGGGGAAATTTTTGCAAGTTACGACCCCCAGCTGAACTGACTCCCCTCCGGTACGACCCCCCCCCCTCCTTATTCCCATCTTACGTAAATCTTCCTCAATTTTCCCCTAACTCCCCAGCACTTTCCTGGGATTATTTCCCATAAATTCCTTTCTCCCAAAAAAGTAGCCGTCGAGCGGGTGAGGAAGCTGTATAGCGCACATGAAACAAGAAAGACCGAGAAAAGTCAACAATCGACAACATTCTTCTTAAGGGCAAACACGACCCCTACCCTCCCTAACCTTCTGCCCCTCAAATTAACGCATACGATAGCGCACTCGCCCGGAAACCGTGAGGTGCGGGTTCGGGTCCCGCCTGTGGTCAAACTTTTGCCCATATTCAGCATTCTTGTGATAGCTTCAAATCAACGCCAACCTTTCTGAAAATGACCCCTCGCCTCATCAAGTTCAAAACCTTCATATTCTCTGGATCCCACAGGACTTGCTTGATTCTAACGTGAATCAGTTGTAGGTAACCGATAAAAACCGATGTTGCTAGTTGAAAACCTCGAAAGGGGAACATTCCGATCAAATTTTCAAAAGTAGTAATTTGGGACCTTATTTTCTATGGCAGTCCTTACTGTATCACTGCTGGACCATGAAAAAGATGGGAACAGCACTGGGAATTGAACCCGCGGCTATGTGTTACACGGAATCGCGCCCTTATCCGATGAGCCATGCTAGAATTAGAATTGAATATATTCAAACGGGAAAATAGGGTGCAAAAAAATATTCTGGAAAAAAGACCTGTCAGTATTTGAATTCAAGTCATTACGAACTAGGCTGGCATGGAAAGAGTAAAACGACTTTCTTTTTTCTTCTATAATTTTGAAATTTCAATAAAAAAATAAAATAGTTTTACATACACACAAATACTAAAGGTTCATGGGGAAAATTGCAAAACGTTTGCACGGAGTGGGATTTGAACCCACGCACCCTTACGAGTACCAGAACGCTCAATCGCTTCCTCGCGATAAGTGTATGCTTGAGTCTGGCGCCTTAGACCACTCGGCCATCCGTGCACGAGCACGTCGCTCGTCAATGTACATTGTCAAAACGCTCTTCCGTTGATGCTGGATCACTGGTAATTTCAAGCAACGCTTTTTTTTTTTTTTTAAGACCCTCAGCGATATTGTAATAGGGACCCTCATTAACAGAAGTTGAAAAAAAGAATTATTCCTAAAATTCGACGTAAAACTGGTTTCTTGCCCTATTTTGTTGGAACATTATGGTTCTTTTTTTGGTTAGAAAAAAAAATATTTTTTTTAGCGGTCTAGAGAAAGAATTGTGAAAGATTTTTGCAGGAACAAGATAATTTCAAGCATGCTCTGTTGCCATTAGGAAAAAAAGAATGAAAAAATAATGCAGGGAAGTTAGCATCAACCCTCAAGCCGTGGACTCCCGGTTTCTTCCAAAGCACTGGTTCCATGATGTTTCGGCATCGGTTTTGAGCGTTATCAACGTCGAAATTCCACAACCCTCGGTTAGTTCCAGTTTAGAAACTCGTTGGGAAAGAGCCAATGTACAATTCTGAACCAGCGCGTAATTGGGAATGCGCTGTTCCGAGCGCGCACTCAATTACTACGTATATTAGTATTTACACTTCCTTGAAGTATCTCGCCTTCTTACTGTGCAATTTTTTGGCAAGCCTAGTTTCCCCGTGTGACCCCCCGGCCTCAAGCTAAGTGCCCTTTGAACAGCACGATCCACTCGGAACGTTAGGCTGTTGTAAAAAATATTTCAATTAACAGCCTCGTTAAAGGAAAACAGTGCGTTGGATCCTACCGGATTGAGGCTAGCATTTAGACGCTGGAGCAGAAGGGCGGAAGGTCCTGCGGCTTTTTGAGGATTATCTTTACTTACTTTACTCAGCTTTTCATTGCGTTTCCAAACATGCGCTATAATTCATGACCCCGTTTCCCCTCCCTCGTCGACGCGGTTTTTTAAGATAGGGAGGGAATTGTGAGGAAAGGGAAAAATGTGGACGCAGTTTTTCGGGAAAAAAATAAACTCCTGAAAATTTCAGGAAAGTTAAGACAATTCAGTAGAGGCGTGATCGTACCAAAGGATGTTTTGATGGGGCGGACCTTTGAATATGGCCATGAAATTTGATGGTAAATCAGTTTAAGTACAGACATTGTCCAACTCATGTACAAGAGTCTTGTCAGCTCTTGACAGTAGCAACACGTATGAAAATGTAGTTAAGGCCCCCACGGAAAGCCCACCGAAATTCAAACCTGATAACACTCTTTGAATGCTAGGATATTGGTCAAAAGTTTAATTAAATCAACCCCTAAAAACGCTACTTCAGTTGTTTTACTTTTAAATGAAACTTTGACGCACTTTATGACATCAGGGGTCGGCCTTGCGCATAAACCAGCGATTCTTAGGCGCCTGGTGAACTGACGTGCTGCAGCATTCCCACGCTGATTGAGTTGGGTCCAGACGAGAATGAAACCGTCTGCAGTCTTCTTGCTTCATTTTTGCCGTGGTAAGCTTGTGAACCTGCCGCCATTTTATCAACAAACAGATATTTCAGGATGCGAAAAAATCATCCACGTTGGAGCAACGACTTCGGGAACTTTCGATGAAGTATAAGCAACAAGAGCACTCACCTGAACAATCACCAGCAATGACGAAAAAGTCTTATACAGTAGGTAAAAGTAAAGAAGATAATCCGAGACCGTTCTTGTTTTCCAACTACAAAGATGTATACTGAAGTATCGAATGAAAATAAAAGTGCTTCTGTTCGTTTTATTAGAAACAACACAGTTGTTTTGACCATAATGACAAAAACAGCGATGAATAAATACGAAGTATGATCGAGCCGAAAATAACTTCTACAAAGGGAGAGAGGGCTCACAGGTACTACATTATTTCGAAAGAAAACAACACTTCAAAAACAAAAATGTTCAACAAATCAACTGGGCGAGGGCAAAACCCAAGCTTCAAGCTCGTGCCTCTATCTCCAGGGCCTCGTCGGCTTCACAAAACTTGGGCTTCATACAGTCCTCAACATATGCGACTTCCAGAGGAGACACAGCTACACCGTTCCATATGGAGACCTCTTTGCTAAGATCTGAATGCGAAGGGTGTAAAAACAGAAATAGCCAAATAACTGACATTCTACCGCACTGCATAAGGACTTGATTGGGCGCGTCAGTCAGGTATGGCGCAGTTCCAGCCCATTTTCCTTAAGTTGTTGCCTCTTGATTTACTTTTCTTCCATTCCCATAAGGCACGAGTCCCAGACTATACAAGGGCGCGACGGCAGCCCGTTTCTTTTCTTTTTGCTTTCGACAAGCGACAAAACATCAGTTTGACAAGACAACATTTGCATCAAAAATTGGTGGAGAACGGACGCTGCGCCACCCACCCCTGACACGCCCCAGCATCCGCAGCGAATAAGACCAAAGAAACTATGGGGTACCGCAGCGCAAATAAATGAGTCTTTTTTGGAAATTCTCTCAAGTACACTTCGAATTCGCTGGTTTTAATTAGGTCCGCAGAAAACGTTTTGCAGGCAGATTTTCAGTCACATCGCTCTTCTTCGTATGCATTGAAAACTTAAGCACCACCAACGTACGCCCTAGCAACCCGGATTCTCCGCAAACAGATATGTTCTCAGAAATGATATAACAAAATAGTTGGCTCACAGGAAAAGCTGTGACTCAGAGGGAGAACAATCACTTTCAATGGGTCCCGGTGCGATTTTGAAAAAGCAAAATAATCTAAAGCCTTCGCTATTGATCGAACTCCTCTTGGGATGGGACTCATCCTACCTCCAATCAAAATTAAGTTTTAACATATGGATCGCGCGCGTAGTAAATGAGGCGACCAGCTTTCACACTTCTTCTTCCTGAAAATTGAGAATGACGTACCAACTCCAAGTTTCGAAGGATCCATTCCCAGCACAGCAGCATGTCCTCCATTACAAATAACTCGAAGCAGTGTTTGTGCAGTACTACAGACGAGATCCTGCAAATTCCCTTGAGTGTTTGCGGGTGAATAACAAGAACGGTACGTGAATTGAGACAAAAGAAGAATACTTACCATATCTTCAAATGAGAGATCATAAGCGATACGCATTCCGGGTTCGGTTGGATCGAACAGGGTGGGACTTCCAGGTAAGAAAATACCTAGAACAAATATTCAGAAAAACTCGAAATCATATCAAACTGCCTGCACATTGCCACCAATAACAAGTTCCGACAACTTGTTCCTATGACATGTTCATGCTGTTCTGCTTCTTATTCTCTTAACTAAAAGTACCAAACGATGTCGGAGTTAAATTCAGACTCGTTCAAGCCAAAGCCATATGCCAAGAATATATGTTCCAGCAAAAGTTCAGAATTAATTAGGGCACCTCCTGTCGCTGGTAAATATTCTTGCAATACGATCCCCTCCCTCCTTTTTGTGACCCCTTTCACCATTCAAGCGAAGATTTTTCTCGCGCACGAAAAATGGATGTGGTCCCCTCTCGAAGTGACAAACAAATACGACCCCTCCACCGCCCCAATGAGAGTCTCCCAACGAGACAGGAAAAATCAGCTACCCAGAAAAGTCCTTCATATCCATTCCTTCCCCCCCCCCCGCTGGAGATTTCTTAGCGTACAACGTGATTTAGAAATAGCACTCCACAGCGGAAGCACCGGAAATCGCAAATAGTGTAGCCATCTCTGAGATCGACGGCTGCTTCATAACAAACCCTTAGCCGTTGAGCCTCCCCTTAACGCCCTGGAGAATCACGAAAATCATGCAATAGCAAATGCTCGCAAAGAGGCGACAACTTCACGGAAGAGATCACAAAACAGTCTCTCAAACAGAGCCACGATCACTACGGCAGTAGAAGTGGCTCGAAATACTCTCTGAACGCTGGTTCTAGAGGTCAAGCCGTTGCTTGTTCGAGTGTATTCATGATCTGCGGAAGGTGCGCCTGTTAAACAATGCGGAAATATTAATGTGTCAAGAAAAAAATACACAATTGAGTTAATTTTTTCTTTTTTGTGCAATAACAATAACTTGCGAACATTCCTCAGTGAAATACGTCAAGACGGAATTTCAAAAACCTTACCAAATACTCAATTAACCGCAGTAGAAGCGGCTGAAGTCCAGTGTAACGTCGCCGGATGTCTTTCAGAACACGGACAAGCATCTGAAAAGTATGACCCTAGCACTATCTAATGGAATCCATTCAATTACGAATCCGAACAGACCTGAAAGGAGATTGCTGTGTTGCTTCTTCAAACCATGCGAACATTGAAGTAGTGGCGTGGGTGATTGATCATCATGACGCGTTCATGCAACCTGGATCTACTGTGGAGCAGGAATAACTGGTTAGCTTCAGATTAAGTATCTGATCTCAAACACTGTAACTTACGATGGAAGATCTGGCTCCAAGTTCGGGGCATTACTAGGAAGTGTTGTTATGAGTATACGCACTTGAGCGTTCGCTGCAGCCAAAAGACACCCAAAGTCGCGTGAGACACAGGACACAGACAATGAAAAAGAAAGGCGCTAGACGACTCGTCTCAAAAGCGATCTTTAAAAAGTTCTCAGAAAAGGAATTACCTTCCTTCTGAGCACGAAGCTCTTCTGCAAGTTTGTTTCCCAATGCAGCTACTGCTTCGACTGAAAACAAGTTCACGCTAAGAAGAGTGTCACAGATTCAGTCCACTCGTTTAAAGTGTGATATGATTAGTAAAAGCTAAGGCGCCAGTCAGCTAAGGGGAGGGTGGACAGTGGCATTTGTTGGTTGCAGTCTAGGTAACAGGTTATTTTATGAAGTCCTGTGAACTCTCGTCAAACGACATTGGTAAAGACAACAGTTTGCTTCTGATTGCGAGACAACAGAACCTAGAAACAAGCAAGATAATCTAAAGTAGGGATGATGCCAAGAAAGGAATCCCAAGGAGAGATGTATTACTACATCTCAAGAAATATAAAATACTTTTTTGAACGGAGCAGATTGTTCCCAGGTGTTCCCAGTTTATTCATGTTGAGTTAAACTGGCGCTTGGTACAACCTTCCTTAAAAGTGGGTATCAACATGACCCCCCCCCTGTGATCATTCCAATTCTCACTGCTCCGGGGATTTACTCCTCTCGAATAAAGTCGCTATTGAATATAGACTCCTCCAGATGTGATCCCTTCCTTCCACGCCAGCTAAACACGACTGCCGTTGAGTATTCCTCAACAGATGCTTGCTGCTGATTGTATCCCCACCCCGCAGCTCCTTACCCTTCACGTTCGGGTACGATGACAAGAATCAACCCCCCCCCCTCCCCAGCAGACTAGCTCCGAAACTGTATAGAAAATGACTCACATGTAGGAAGTGTCTGCATTATAATCACAACATCAGCTACAGTGTGCCCGGTTAAAGCCGTATCCTTCTTGAACGATCCGACCTCACGATATTCCTCGAATCTCTGTAATACTTCCATTAACATTATTTAACCGAGGTACCTTTAACTCGCAACTCGAGTTCGAATGACTTACCACTCCCGGCACACAATCAGGTGTAGTCATTACTTTCTCGATTGCTGCTTTTACTTTCAGAAGTAGTGCGGCAACCGTCGTACGTTCAGCCTCTGTAGGAGTCAGAGCTGTCGCTCGAGCTACCACGTCCTCAAAATAAATTCTTTCAGAAATAAGAATCAATGATTCAATAGGTCGTCTCACTGGTCTCCAACAACCATGTTTTCTTGGAATTTTTGGCATCAGGGAGCTGGTAGTGAGGGAAGGGCAAGGGCTATGACGAACAGATTTTTCCTTTTTATCTCAGCCTCCACTAAACACTATGGCACTTGCCACCAGGTTCTGGCGTTAATGTAAGGAGTACTTTATGTGGTAAGACCACCTCCCCGCTCCCTCCAACCGCCGTTGGGGTTGGTCGCAGTTGCCACCACCACTTTGGGCGAAAGAGATGAGTTCGGTGCCAAACCCGTTCTCCACCAGTTGTTAAAGCGAGCAAATGATATGACTGTATCATATCGTTCGTATTACTCGTTTTCTACCACTTTTTGTCGCATGCGCGCTTCAACAAGAAGGCAGAGAACGGCTTCGATGGGTGGCACACATACTGCCCAACCGTCCGCAGCGAACTAGAGTGTATCAATTCAGCGTTTTGAGCGCAAATCGGCATCTGTACTTTCCTTCAAGCCAAAAACGCTCGAAACGCTCACATCGCCATTGATGGACACAGACTAACACGGACAGTACACATTTCTCTGTCCTTTGCACAGCACCTGCCATTTACGCCTAATCGAACAGCGATAGCCAAGCTGACCAATAACGGTGCTTCAGAAACCACGTAAAAAAACCCAGCTAACCTGAGTGAGTTGAGCGTCGTTATTCTCATTGATACGAACGAAGACGTCGTT